TGGGGGAGTGAGAGGTGCTGGGAATGCAGTGGCAGAGAGCCCAGCTCTGTCTCAGAGTCGCTCGTGGAATCCAGTCCCTCGTGACTGCCGGAAAGTCCCCCAGGTCCCCTCTGCCCCTTCTCCCCTGAGAGCTCCTCTTCCACTGTGGAGCTACGAGACCCCCATCCCTGGCCTGGGCGTCCCCGGTCACAGCCACCTACCCTGTGGCACTGGGATTGTCCAGCGACCGTTTCCGGATCCGCGTTGCTCCTTTAAAGGAAACCACTCGACCTGTTCCTTTCACCTTTGCTGGAAACTGAAGGCTCAGCCTGAGTGAGTGAGTGAGGAAGGAATTAAAGAATGAATGAAATTTCTCCCATCGTCCCCGCGACACACGTGACGATTCTTCCCCCTTGGCCCAATCAGTTCTGGGCAGACAGAGATTGAAGAGGCGGCTCCACAGGCAGTGACACGAGGACAGGACGCGTGTGACCGGGGCAGTTTACTTGGCTGCCTTAGTGTGTTTGAGCAGCTCTAGCAAGGCAGCGCGAGCTGGGGGCATAAGACAAGAGAGCTTTATTTCTTACAGTTCTGGAGGCTGGGAAGTCCAAAGTCAAGGCGCCAGCACGGTGTCTGGTGAGGACGTGGTTTGGTGCAGATCGTGCCTCCTTGTTGTGTCCTCCTACGGTGGCAAGAGCAGGCGAGCCCTCTGCGCTCTGTTACAAAAGCTCCAACCCTATTCATAAGGGCTCTTCCCCCAGGGCCCAATTACCAAGCAGGGGACCCCATCTCCTGTTACCATCACCTTGGCGATTTGGACTTCAGCTTATGAATTTCGGAGATACAAATATTCAGGCCACTCTGGGCCTCAGTAGTACCTTCTGAAAATGGGCGAAGTGGATCTAGGGAGCCTCCCGGCTCTTTTGACTCGTGCTCCTGAGTTCCTCTTTTCTGTACGGATTCTCTGTGGCTCCCCCAGATCTCTCCTTCCCATCCTTCTGCTCCTCTTTACAAATGGAGGGCACAGGAAGCAGGTGGGCCATGACCCAAGCGGGCTGGCCCCCGGGACGCTGCAACTGTTCCTGTGTGGGAGTGTTTGGGCGGGTTGCGGGGCTCGGGAGGGTTGC